TTCCCCCATTTGAAAGCATCTTATCTACATTGGGAGAGCTGCTTCGAGCAGCATCAGGAATGTGGCTAGATCTCAGCGAGGTCCAGCCTCCGACCCACAAGCGATGTGGTTCAAGCTTCGATAGGGTTTATTTGCGTTCAGTCAAGATAATCGCAGGCAAAGCAGTGATCTTTCCCCAAGATGACATTTGGTATCAAGAAATGACGCAAATTGGGTTCGTTTTAGAAAAAGAGCAGGCGGCTCGGCCGCCTTGTCTGATAAAAAGCTTTATCGGGTGGGACGATTCATGTGCCGCTTTCTCTCTGAACCCCCGGGTGAGCCGGTACTGGGAATCAGGACCTTCTCCCCCTCCTTAGCAAATCTTCTGAAGATTCGTTAAGACACAGAGGCCCTTTGGATCTTAGAAGAGACAGTTAGAAACATGGCAACATCGGCATTTCTTAGTAGACTGGATGGATGGATGGTGGTTCTATGCCTCTGTGGAAGGTGGCGTGCCTGTTAACTCCATAAATCTTTTGTGCCTATATAGCATGCAATTCCCATCCATCTGGGAGCAGAGGCCCCCAGAAACATGGCAACCCCCACTGAGTAATCCTGCATCCCCTCTTAGTCCTGATCAAGGGAGACTCCCCGAAACAACTCTGAGGATACCGTAGAACAAAACGCACATCGATCCCATTGACTCAACGGCTCTCCTCTCGTGGACCTGAGCCACTGAATTTAACCCCGTGCTGCTGATTTATAACTTTTGTGTTCGTTTTATGCTTCTTGGTGTGAAGCTTCAAATGTCAGTGCCCAGTTTGGGAGAAAGGTGGAAGTCGATTGGTCGACTAATTAATCAACCTGATTGCCCAAGTGGGTCAAGGCCAGAAAAAGATCTAAAGCTTTCAGGGAAAGTGGCCGGATGGAGGGAGTTAAGCAACGAGAAACATTTGACCTCAAGAACGTGGCTCGATCTCTGCAAGGTCTCGTTCTGGACCCACAAGTGATGTGGTGTAAGCTTTCGGGGAAGGTTCTGAGTTCAGGAAGATAACCTCAGGAAAATGAGCGATCTTTCCCCGAGATGACCTTTGGTACCAAGAAATGATGCAAACGGGGTGTATTGGAGATAAGAAGAGGGAGGGACTCGGCCGTAGGGCAACCCCCGCAAGAGAAAACCTGGAAATCACATTTAGTTGATGGATGGATGGATGGATGGATGGATGGACGGATGGACGGACGGACGGACGGACGGACGGTGGTTCCATGTCTCTGTAGACGGTGGCATGCCAGTAACTCCATAAATTCTTTGTGCATCTGTATTGTAGCATATCATTCTCATCTCACTGACAGCAGAGGCTCCCAGAAACATGGTAACCCTTACAACAGAAAATCTGCAGTTTAAATTTGTAGATGAATGGATGGAAATTCTAGGTCACACCTTTGTTTCCGTTATGTGATGCTTTCAAAGTGCCTATGTTGTTCAAGAAGATGTTCATTATCTTCTCCCACCAAGTTTTCTTGCCCTAGCAGGATTTGAATGCAGGTCTCTTAATCCTGGTTGGAGAGCCAATCCACTAAACCATCCTGACTAGAAACAGAGGTAGGTGGACTGTTTCATGGATTGCTAACAAAGCGGTGTGGTCTTAGGAGATGAATGTTGTGGTTTTTAAGGTGCCGGGCCCCTCCATTCCGCGGCAATTTCTGTGCCATCACTCATTCCAGTCGTACAGTTTTAAGCCGGAATCATAGTTTGTAGAAAAATACATTGCCATTTTAACGAACAAATCTTCCCCCATTTGAAAGCATCTTATCTACATTGGGAGAGCTGCTTCGAGCAGCATCAGGAATGTGGCTAGATCTCAGCGAGGTCCAGCCTCCGACCCACAAGCGATGTGGTTCAAGCTTCGATAGGGTTTATTTGCGTTCAGTCAAGATAATCGCAGGCAAAGCAGTGATCTTTCCCCAAGATGACATTTGGTATCAAGAAATGACGCAAATTGGGTTCGTTTATCAGCCTTGTCTGATAAAAAGCTTTATCGGGTGGGATGATTCATGTGCCACTTTCTCTCTGAACCCCCGGGTGAGCCGGTACTGGGAATCAGGACCTTCTCCCCCTCCTTAGCAAATCTTCTGAAGATTCGTTAAGACACAGAGGCCCTTTGGATCTTAGAAGAGACAGTTAGAAACATGGCAACATCGGCATTTCTTAGTAGACTGGATGGATGGATGGTGGTTCTATGCCTCTGTGGAAGGTGGCGTGCCTGTTAACTCCATAAATCTTTTGTGCCTATATAGCATGCAATTCCCATCCATCTGGGAGCAGAGGCCCCCAGAAACATGGCAACCCCCACTGAGTAATCCTGCATCCCCTCTTAGTCCTGATCAAGGGAGACTCCCCGAAACAACTCTGAGGATACCGTAGAACAAAACGCACATCGATCCCATTGACTCAACGGCTCTCCTCTCGTGGACCTGAGCCACTGAATTTAACCCCGTGCTGCTGATTTATAACTTTTGTGTTCGTTTTATGCTTCTTGGTGTGAAGCTTCAAATGTCAGTGCCCAGTTTGGGAGAAAGGTGGAAGTCGATTGGTCGACTAATTAATCAACCTGATTGCCCAAGTGGGTCAAGGCCAGAAAAAGATCTAAAGCTTTCAGGGAAAGTGGCCGGATGGAGGGAGTTAAGCAACGAGAAACATTTGACCTCAAGAACGTGGCTCGATCTCTGCAAGGTCTCGTTCTGGACCCACAAGTGATGTGGTGTAAGCTTTCGGGGAAGGTTCTGAGTTCAGGAAGATAACCTCAGGAAAATGAGCGATCTTTCCCCGAGATGACCTTTGGTACCAAGAAATGATGCAAACGGGGTGTATTGGAGATAAGAAGAGGGAGGGACTCGGCCGTCTTTGCCCTATAAAAGGGACCCCCACATCTCCCCGATCAGACGCTTCCCTTGGAGGTCCGGAGGAAGAACCTTTAAGCAATTAAGGACCCCTGTTCTTCATGGTAAGGTCTATCATCTGGTTATTTTCCCCAGGTGAGGTAGAAAGAGATCTGATCCTTCCAGGTGAAATGTTGGGTGTGTAGTCATAATGATGATGATTATGTGCCCTCATGTCAATTCTGACAAGTTAGGGGACAAGATCACTTAAAGGAATGTGTGCTATCAGATGCACCCTCGAGCTGAAATTCAAACGATCATGGATTTGCAGGAGGGCGTTGGGGCTTTTTCCTGCTCAGGAAATTATGGGTCACGTCCATGTTGATCCCTCCGTACCCATTTGTTTTATGGGTATCCCATCTAGTTTCAATCCAATTGAGATCACAGCTGTCCACGGTGTTTGTTTTACACTAAGCAAAAGAGGAAAGAGGTCTGGACTGCTTTGCAGGGCTGTAAGTGAGATTTTCACTGCTGATGTTTAATTCATTTCAAAGTATTTTCGTTCACCTCCTAAAGTCAGAGTAGAAGAGAGGGGCTCACATATAACAAATTAAACAAGGCAACCTCTGTTTATGGTTTGCAGTTTGAAACTTGACAAGACTTGGCGGGTCCAGTTTCATGTGTTTCTGTGTGTCCGCTCTGGGTTTTCATCCAAGGTTCTTTTCCTGCTTTCATAATGTTTAATGTTTAAGCCACCCATCCCCTCTCCCTGGGGGTTCTCCCTCTGCCCTATGGAACCCCAAAACTCCAAGCCAGGCTGTCTCCTCCTGCCGGGTTCTCCGGAGGGGCAGAAGCCGGCGCTCGCCAGGGCGAGCAGAAACCGGAGGCCTCGACCCACTTCTGGTTCTTTCCATCAGACGGACGAGGAGTTCAACCAACGGACGAGCTGCCTCCTGCCTGACCAGGTCGAACAAGCCGTGGGAAACATGAGTTGGTTCCACGATTCGGCCACTGAGGAGGTCCCCGAAAGTGTGGACTGGCGGAAAGAAGGTTACGTGTCGCCAGTGAAGAACCAGGTGAGTCTGGACTCCGGGAGAGAGACGTCTCGTTAAAGTTCAAGACATAAACTCTGCAAGGGTCTTCGTGGGATGCTCGGGAGGGATTTACCATTTCATGGTGTTTCTGTGAATGAATAACCTTCACAACTCCTGTGGGTTCTTTTGTGAAGTCAGTCTATCACACCATGTATTACAAGTTCAAATAGAGAGAGAGAGAAAGAGATTGGGAGTTTGATTCCTCCACGGGGCCTCCTTGAGCGGGGCTGGACTGGATGATCTTTAGAGTCCCCCTTCCAGCTCTGCGCTTCTAAGATTTTTCCTATTATACTTTTAAAGTATTTAAAACTTTAAGAATCCACTTAGGAAAAGCCTGGGAGTCAGGCATAGTGACAATCTCTCACACAAAACGCAACAATACTGAAAAAATTATTAATTATATAGTAATTAAAGCTCCCTTGATTGATAATATAATAATTATTAAAATTCCATTAGGTTTACAATAAGAATGAAAACTCCATGATTTAATGGCACACTAATAATTAAACCCCCTCTGAAGGGGATGACAGAGGATGAAATGGATGGACAGCGTCATCAAAGCAACCAACGTGACTTTGACCCAGCTCCTGGAGGCAGTGGAAGACGGGAGGGCCTGGCGGGCTCTGGTCCCTGGGGTCAAGAAGAGTCAGACACAACTTAATGACTAAACAACAACAACAATATTTAAACCTGTCATAATTATCCAAAACATTTAGAAATTGTAGAAACACCTTTAGGAAACAAATAAACCAGTGTTCCGGGACTCAGATCAGAGTCTCGAACCTCAGGAGCCACTCGGCTTCTGAGGTTACCCTCCTGGTCATCTGGATTTGGACACATAAGAGCGAATTTCAGATCCTTTCTGGCTGAGTCAGATCTGAGTTTTTCCCCCTCCTTTTTATTTCCTTCCACAGGGTCTATGTGGGTCCTGCTGGGCCTTCAGTGCCACCGGCGCTCTGGAACACTTCCATTTCAAGACAACCCGCCAACGGGTCTCCTTCAGCGAGCAGAACCTCCTGGATTGCTCTTTCCTTCCACAGGGTCTATGTAATTCCTGCTGGGCCTTCAGCGCCACGGGGGCTCTGGAAAACCTGCATTTCAAGACAACCGGCCAACGGGTCTCCTTCAGCGAGCAGAACCTCCTGGATTGCTCCCGGGATCAGGTCAACCGTGGGTGTCAAGGTGGACACCCCGCACAGGCTTTCGAATACGTCCGCCAGAACGGGGGCCTCAGTTCGGAGCAGGACTACCCCTACAGAGGAAAGGTAAAAGAAAATCTATGCCCATCTCCTGGATAGGCTACTGCAAGACTCTCTCCGTGGGGCTTCCCTTGACACTGACTGGAGCAGGTCCCGAAGGAGGTAGCCAGACGGGCGGCTGATGCGAGCAACTTTGATCAGATCTCCCCAGTTCTGGGGGACCCACTGCATCTGGGGCACCTGGGGAGGCTTTGCGGGGCTCCCTCCCAACCTCCAGAAGCCTTCCGGAGAGGCTCTTCGCTCGGGAGGGCTTCCGACGCCACTCTGCCTGGGTTTTCGGTCCTGTCCGCTGCCCCTGATTTCAAATCATGCCTCTTCTTGCATCTGATTTTACCCATTGACTGATTTTATTTTCATTTACTTGTTGCTGTGTTTTATTTCACCTGCTGTAAATCCTCCAGGATCATGCTTGGCCCGAACGGAAAGCTATACAAATCTGAGCAAAAAAATTAAATTAATGTATCAATCTAGGATGCCGATACAATTCAAGTTTCTCAGGACAGGCGATCTCTAATGCCTCAAGGGAGCCGCTGAGACGGAAAATCCGAACTCGTGTCTTTTGCCTCCAGGCAAGAAACCCAAGTCTGGGCCTTTTTTCTGCAGGTCGGAAGGTGCCGCAGGAATGTCAGGAAGATCCGGATCAAAATTTCAGGATTTGGAAGGGTGCAAAGTGGGAACGAGAAGGAACTGGCATATGCAGTGGCAAAGTTTGGCCCTGTTTCTGTAGGAATCAACTTTAATAAAAGAAAGTTCCGATATTATAAATCAGGTGAGGATCCCTTGGAAAGAGGGCCGGGTGGTCTTGGCAATAATTTTGGACAGGGTTCAGTTAAGACCTGCGAATGTTGGTATAAAGACATAAGACATAAGACATAAGAAATTTATTTGTCATTGCGCTCACAAGTGGGTGCAACGAAATGAGGTGCTCTTCCCCAAGGTAAAACTGGACAACACTACAAAAAAAAAAAGTTAAAATATACACAACT